TGATCAGGTAAGAAACACAACGCATCAACTTTTTCATAACAATATGGGCAACAACAGACGTTAGCAACGTTGCAGAGGAAGCAAAGTGGTTTTGTGATGGTGGTGTTGATCAACACAGCCAGAAACACTCAGCACTTACAAAAACAGAGTTCCCACCACCACCGAAAGCGGATTCGTGCCCGGCGTGCAGTGAGCCAATCTTAACATGCTGTATATACACGCTGTAAGATATTGCATTTATTCAGGCCTGGGTGCTTGGTGAACTTTTCCATGAGTCAAGCACACCTAACAGCAGGTTTTGGTGCTTCACACAAAAACCAAAGGTTGGTGCTTTTCCAAACACGGCTACTAGGTACTGATTGGTTAGTGATTAACATACAATTAAAATACTGTTTACGCAATACTTCTGCTGCTGCACATGCTCCAGGGAAGGGTCTTGACCTGGGCAGGGCTCTTTTTGACTTGTGGGTGTGTTTTTCAGTATTATAATGTAGGTAGTTCACTTCAGGACACTTTAAAAGTGAGTTTAATCGCCAAGTTACTTAACTGAATAATCCCTTTGCCAGGCTGTCAAATAACTCATCCTTAACACAGTCAATCCCAGATATCATGATCCAAGATGTTCTACATGTTTTCCAGGGCTTGAAGATCACAAAGTCTATTCTTCGTGAATTCCTTATTGCTAATCCAGGTCACCTCAACCACTGTTCAAAGGTTCACTCAACGGATCTTCAAAGCCTCACATATGTCCCCGTATGTGCAGTAATGATAACGACCAGCCCAATTATTCTCCACGGCTAGTAGCAAATGTGAAGTACACTACAGCACTACCACCCATGGTCCCCACCCGAGCTGCCGGCCCACAGCGCCTCGCTCCCTCTTTGCTGCCGGCACGACAGGTACCGTGGGCTCTTGCGACCCGTGGTCAGACTCCAGTTGCTGGCAAGTAGACCTCCATGTGCACGTATGTACACGGAACAGAGAATCCCCTCACCCAAGAAAATAGAATTGAAACCTAAGACGGGGCAGCTGGCACTTACGAGACCCAGGGCAGTGCCAAACAACTGTACAGACCAGTGACCGGCCCCTTACCCTTCTCTTTTCCTCCCCAGACCACCTACATCCCCGCCCTCGGTTCCTTCCATATATATCCTATACTGTTGTACAGTTCCTGAACGCTGAGGTCGGCATAAGCCTGGAGGGAGTAGCCAGCTCTAATCCGCAAGGTGCTCTGGAGAGCCCTCGGCTCCTCCCTGTGTGCTTGGGGCAGCTTCTGTGACAGGGCCCCCTTCTCTCTGACTGAGTTATTTGAGTTCCCCCACCCGGCATCGTGCCCCTGTTCTCCCTTCTGTTTGTGGGGACGAGCTTTTTAATCGCAGAACAAATGATGAAGAGCTGCTGGATGGTGACTGGCTACAGCCACAGGCAGCACGAAACCGGATCACAATTTGAAAGCTGCCCTTCCTTTCCCTGGCAGCGCCGGCCCTGCTGCTTTAGCCGTTCTAAATCGTGAATGAAAAAGAGGAAGATTTTCTTTCTCAGTTTACTACCACTGTAGCTAACAGCTCTCTTCAAATACCAACTTAAAATTACAGCTACCAGAACAATCCGGCCTGCACTTGGTTGTTTTTTAGTATTCAAGTCCTGGCCAACAGGTAGTCCATTTCAGTGGTGACTGAAGTGAATCATAACACTAACAGTTGAATATATAACACTAATATTATGTATGTTTCAAATCCAAGTTGAGGCCATTTTACAGTAGACAAAAAATGGGCAAAAAAAAAGTGGGCAAAATAGACATATTTGTAAAATGTTGACCAGAACACAGCTCCTAATTTTCAAGTGCTCGTCTCATTTTTTTTTTTTTCCTTCCTCAGCCTTCTTAGCCTGAGAAAAATAAAGCAGAGACAGAAGGAAACAAAATTAACAGGGTAAGTAAAATAATGAAAATTTACAGTGCATGGGTTACTTCAGATAATGAAGAATGCCTTTTCTGGAGTTGCTTCAGTTTCCCTACTTGTCTAGCCCTATTATCGGCAGAAAAATACTTGATCCAATTTGTCTTCAGGAGTGGAGGGACGGTAAAGGGCACGAATCCGTCTCGAGCCAGTGAACTTAGGAAGCTTAGCTAAATTATTGATGCAACAGTAAATGCAGTAGTTCGAACAGATTGGATGCTGAATTATTTTCTAAATCCTGTTTGTTTAAAACAGCTGTAGTATCTGAAGTTTAACAGTTCATTTTTAAATTGAGAGATTGTATCTAAATGTCAAGTAGATGGTCTATTTGTTTATCTTTTGTTTAAAAAAATCAGAATGATAGAAGATAAGGGTAATGCATGAAATGTCACTGACAACTCTGTGTAGAACTATAGAAATACTCCAACCACTAAGCTGCTTTCAAATCATCCCAAACAAATATATCAGCATAATATACTGCGTGTATTTTGTCTTGAATGGGTGAGTTCAAAAGACCAACGAGCTCTAGTAAAGGCACTAGTTTTCTGGGTTAGCTTTCAGGTTGAATACATGGCATTTTCTTAGTAAGGGACTCACTGGTCAAATAAATACAGGTATCAAATGGTCTTTTGTTTAAAAATAAATGTCCGTCTAGATATCTGGAGAATCTTCACATTCCACTACACTGTGTGTAGAATTCTTGGCCCTTGTAAATTTATATATATATATATATATATATATATATATATATATATTATTTTGGGGGTAGTCATTTAATAATTGGCAATAATGGGAAATTCTTATTTTTCTGCGTGACCCTCAGTTAGACCCTCAGTTCCTCAACTGGAATTCTTTCTTGACTACAAACAAAACTGCCTTGGATGAAGAGTAGAATCTTATCCACTACTATAAAAGCACTTAATTAGATGACCCCAAGTGCAGAAGCTATTTAGCTGACTGACTCAGAGAAAATGTTCCATGCTAGCGAATTTCTGCTCCACCTACAAAATTCTCCTGGTCTTACAGTGTTCAACAGAACTCAAGTGAAAATGGGATAAAAACCTGTATTTTATTTTCTATAGTATCATCTAGTACCAGGGACTGTTACGGAAAAAAAATGTCCTGTTGCCACAGGAATGATGTGACAGAGGGTAACAGTTCTGTGTTACCATTCCGCTGAGGGTGTGAAGCTGATGCTCTGGCTGACCGGATCACCTGCCCCGAAGAGGGCATCCAGCCTTGTGCTGGCTGGCAGCAAGATCGACAGGACTCCTTCCAGCAGCCCCAGCTGCTGATTCTTTCCTACTATCCCTGCCACTCCTTATATTCCTGCACTCATTCCTGAAAACCCCGCAGCCCTCCAGCCCCAAAGTGACCCACGGATGGTTGTGTAATCTCTCGAGTTCACAGTTTTGGAAATAAAGTTGATGTAGACCTGGAATGAACTTCTGGTCGGTATGTGAACCAGAGCAGAAAATTTCAATGAGCCTGCCTTAGTTCACATTCTTAATAAAGCAGTGCAGGGAGTTAAAAAGGAAGCTGAGGGAATTAAATAAGGCTAACTAGAAGACCAGGTTTTACGAGGCCCCTGAAGACTCAGATTTGGCAGCATTAGCTGCTTTTTGCCGTTTTGTTGCTTTCCGCCCCCCCTGCTTTTCTCCGTGCCAGTCCTGGCTGTGGAAGACCACCCGGCAGAGCCGAGCCTGCATTTGTCACAGGGACAGGAGAGCAGGAGACCTCCCGATGATGACGGAAGCTGTCAGTTCTGGAACCTGGAACAGAAAGGCGGCAAGGGTGAGGTGGCGCTCGGTCAGCCCCAGCTTGGTAGGGCGATCTCTACGTGTCCAACAGCGTGTACTTACTGCAACAGCAGCTACACGTACTACAAACAGCCCAGATACGTGTATTGCTGGAGTAAAGAGAACACATCCTGGCAGATTTTATTTTTTAAATCGTGATGTGTAAGTGGAGCGTAGGGTTGAGTGGGCATTTCTAAAGGCTCTACAGGAAAACAATAAAAAAATCCTCAGCTCTCTTGAAAATACAGATCTGAATGTCATATATTCTCATGGGGCAGAAGGGTACTACCTCCCCTACCTTAAGAGCTTTTTGAATGGTGAAAAAAAAAAAAAAAAAAAAAGTCTTGATTTTTCCTGTAGAAATCCCTAAAGGTTCTGCTTCATTAGGTTTTTTAGAGTTTCAGTAACCATACATGCTGAGAGATAACAGGAGCTTTATCTGGCAGTCATACTACAAACAGTATACGGTCTCTGCAGGAAGAAAAGCTATCACAGGACACCAGTGTATTAGATTTCACTTAAAAGGAATTTCTTAAGAAGGCTGTCTAGTGTGTGAGCACAGAGAACACCACCTCCAGTTCGAGAACATCTGGAGAAGAGACAGTGGAGCTGTAAGATGTTCAGTCATGTTTTCTCGTAGTTGCCAATCCAGCACCTCTACATTTCTAGAGCAGCACTGTGCCTGGCTTATGTCACATTATTCATTATGATGTTCTGAATTTAATTAAGTATCTTTAGTCTTCTGCTTCTTGAAAAACCATAGTATTATTGCTACTAGGAAGCCGAAAAATATTGTTATTTATGGATAAAAGGTCCATATTTTCCTTTGAATTTAACATCCTTAAAACAAAGTTCCATGTAGCAAATTACTTTTCTTGCAAGTAAAACATTTTCAACATCACCCAGAGAAGGTGAGAGAAGTAACTCAGGCTTTTGTGACTGAGGACCAATCTATGTTAAGTAGCTAGTGAAGAGGAAATCAATCCCTGACAGATCTCATTTGATGGACCACTATCATCCTGACTATTCGAGGATCATACCAGAGTTCTCAAAGTGTTAATGGTCAGCTTTACTCATTATTAAAACTAGGAAAATAAATGCTAAAGAAGAAATATATTCTGCTCAGAACCAGAGAGCTGGATGTTCAGAGAGTATTTTGATGTAATTTGAACATTCATTAGTAATTTGCTTAACATCTAAACTGTAACATAGCTTACCAGCAAATACCATTTACTTCAAGAAATCCAGGAACCGACGCAGTAACACATTTATTGATCACTTTACCAACTAAAGGTACAATTTTATACAGTCAGTCAACAGCAGTAACATAGTTTATGAGAAGCTATGCTTTAAAAAATGGTGTTTACAATATGGATTTCACTACAACTTTTCAAGCCAAGCTTTTACAGTGCTAATCAAACAACTGCTGTACTTTTTCCCTAAAACATCAACAATAATGTTGTAGACAAAGTAGCTTTTCCATTGTTAATGTGGGTTTAGAATTTAACAAGACAACTTTATAAGGTTTAAAACATCCATAACATTGTCATTACTTTAACATTCACACTGATAAAGTGATACATTTAATACTTTCTAGCATTAATAAACAGTGTAAAAATATATTGCATATATATATATATATAAATTTGTTTCCTTTTCCTGAAAAAACCTAGTACAAACTAGTAGTATATGATCCCCCCTTCAAGTTTCTTTTACTTATTTTAAAGATTGAATAGTAGTAGTTTTAAATTAACAGAAACAAAGATATGGAAATAGAGAATCACTGTTGTGCTCCCCCATCACCTCTTGGCACGGTTACTAAGCATATTAACCCCTTGGTAACGATGGTTCCGTTTTTGCTAACACTGGTTAGAATTTTGGCACTGACTGCAGTGGGGATAAGATTTTGCCCGGCGTGCTTTGCACTGGATGGTGCCTGGCCCCCCTTCATCAAGTGGTTAAAAATCTTTGCTTAGGATACGTTTATCTATTATAGTTAAGATTAAGAACTGCTATGCTCAAGTTGTTCATCTGCAATAACGAAAAAAAAAAAAAAAAAGGTTCAGTGTTAAATTAGTGAGAAAAAAAAGTAAACTTGTAAGGTTAATGATCATGTAAAATTTTTACCGTGTTGAAAATTTCACAGTGAACACAGTAGAGGCTAGTACAGCTGAATGTTAATGTTTGCAATGCCTGCAATTATAAATATCGCGGGCAATTATTAGCACACAGCAGCTTCCTGGTTTTCTGGACCAAGATGAAAGACAAATGAAAATAAGAAGAAGAAATATTAAGATTCACTGAAGGTTTCTGTCATGCTGTACAGTGCTCCAAGGAAGACTATGTCAAGACCTATCTCCATATTACAACTATTTAACAATTACATTTTTATTAGTGCTCTAGGTAATCAAAGACAAAACAGCGTTGCCGCCACACCGTATGATCAGGTCCTGACAGCATGCACATCCAGATTTGTGCAAACAAAGAATCAAAATACCTAAACCAAATCAGAAATGGATGTTGGAATAACATGGACAGATAAACAAGCTAGCGAAGGAATAATGTGGATAAACAAATGGTTCATGACTGAAGAAAACCAACCTCAAACATTCAAAAATTATACTTCTGTATAAATATATATTTCTCCTGTAATATTTAAATCTGTGAAACATAAAACCTTGCTAAGAATATACTTCAATATACTTATCCAACTTCAACCATTTCTCTGCTTTACAGAATGTAAATACAAATTACTTTGTATTATAAGCATTATACAAAATATTTTCCCTGCTGCAATAGTTAGCCAAAGCTGATATATTTTGAACCCAGCACAAAGATAAACACAAAAACGCTTTCGCAGCATCCTCTAACTTGTTTTTGTCTATGACCTTGCCATTTCATACACTACAACTCTAACAAAAGTAGTTTGTTGACACAATTTTAAATGGGACAGAAGAGTTTGTAGGTTAACTGACCTTACACAAAGCGTTTGTAAAGAGCTAGTGTGTATTTAGCATGAATACTGCAGACATACAGCATTTCAGCTGCATTAATATAACCCGATTTAACAGAGGCCAGGCTGCATTATTTCACATTATTTAATTACTGTGTTTAAAAATAGAATTTTAGCAAATGCAAGCATACAGAAACGTTATCTGATGTAAACTGGAGCTTAAAATAATTCACCATTGTGGAGGTACAGATTGCCATCTTTTTCTTATTTTGTTGATCATCCATAATATAGCTCCCAATCAAAATGTGAAGATGGGTGAAGTGTGAGTGTATTTTTAGGGCTACACTTTTAATTTACTTGAGTGTAACTTTATTCACGTTTGTGATCTGTTCTGAAAAATGTGCAAAGTAATAGAAAAGTCTTGACTAAAAATAACTGGAGGGCAAATGATCATGAGTGTTACCTTTAAGACCTTTACAAATGCTTACAACAAAACTTACTTTGTACAGTGCTGTAAGCTTTACAGTAACTCAGGAAAAGAGATGCTGTATAACTATATTTGAAAATTAATTAACAGGCTGTTACCTGCAATGGAATACAGTAGGAATATAGTCAGTTGGGCATTTCAATATCAATTTCTGTATGTAAGACTAAAAAAAAAAAAAAAAGGGGGGGGGGGGGAGGCTTTTCTGTAGTCTTGCCACTCATGTATATACGTCCCAACGTAGTGCACATGTGCATACACGTTTGTGTGTGTGTGTATGACTCCGAAAGAGAATTTATTTTTAAAAAAATAATTTCAGACTACCAACATTGCAAATGTCTGTCAAGAATACCCAGGAAATAGGCTGGGTTTTTTCCCTTTTATTTATTATTAGGCTTATTCTTGCCAAAGTCTACCTAGAGTAGATGATCAATTAGTTTGAATGAAACAAGCCAACTCAAATGCTTTCTGAAAACAAAGTAAAGAGTTATATCTTAAAGTTGTTTTGAAATCCACCTTCTCCATATGGATTTTGAAGCAATATACCCAAGGTAATATACTGAAAACCATGAAAAAATACCAAATATATTACAGTTATTTCTCCCTGCAAAATCAAATTACTTGGACAATTAAGACATGGAGGTTCTATCTGCAATATTCTTTAGCTTCCTGAAGCACCATTCTTAACTGGGACATCTTTCAAAGCATTGGTTTTGAGTTTAATGAGCAAGCATGAATGCAACTAAAGGTGTCTCACTAGTTTTAGGATTCTGAAGACTTAAAAAGAACATCCCAGTCGATCATTTCCAGCTTATATTAGGTAAGCCAAATGGGCACTTGGGTGCACAAAACGAGTAACTGTATGTCTAAATTCTATTTTATGGGCAAACACTCCAAATACAGGACGTACACTTGTACTGAGTTGAGGCACTCCAGACTGTGAGAATTTCACACAAGCTTGAGATCTGTCATTATGCTTCAGGTATTTAATTTTATAAAGGTTTATGCAAGACTCAAGTCCATGGGTATTGTACAACAGCCCTGTTTCCTGTTCCCACCTCAACAGACCATGATTTTGTACTTCCTAACTGATAAGGAACAACTGCGTGTGTATGTAGCAAGTGTCAACTTGCTTCACAAAGTTGGGGCAAAGGAAAACACAGGGCCCATGCAGGGCATAATTTTAAATGGTCTCTTGGGAGAACTGAGAGGAAATCTTGTTTTCACCTTGACTCTTTCGCTCCTACTTCCTCACTACAGAGAAACTCTTTTGATCACACCCAGCCTATGTTAGAATCACCGAATAGTGATTTCCCCCAGAAATAGGAACATGGTAAACATGTAAAAATAGAAAAGCCTCCTTAGATCTTTACCTTCATGCTATGGAGGGAGAACGGCAGTGTCACCACCTGGCCAAGCTGAACAGCATTGGCTGCGGGACTAGAGTCTGGACCAACATCTATATGGTTTAATTACTTAGCTGGATCCAAAGAGTATGTGTAAGCACACACAGACCTGTACAACTTTTGTGTATTATATTACTTACTACCAACTAAGAGACAAGCCAAGAACATAATATTCACACTACAAACAACGTACACAAAGGTGCAGCTACTTTGGCACACACGCAAGGCTAACAGCCAGTTAAGAGGACAGGTACTAGTGCAACACATTACAGTTACTCTATCATGAAGGTTAAAGGTTTGTTTCTTGGCCAGTGCAAACAGAGAATTCTTATTCATGGATGACAGGCACATGCCTCCAGAATACATGCATCACTGAAAGGCAGCGTCATGGTTTGGCTATCATACATGCAGGCACAATTAATTAAAATTTATTTTATAACTATGACAAGCCTTAAGGAAAAAGCCTATCAATTACAACTTTGAAGTTTTGGTTTTGGAGAAAGATACACAAGGATCTTCTCTACAGATGGTTACATATGGCTGGGATACCTATTACTTGCAAGCCAAACCTGTAACAGTCATTTGCCTTTTAGTTCTGGCTAGTTCCAGGTACCATAAAGAAATATTAATTGAGCCAACAGAAGGAAACATGGGTAACTGAAATGCTAATTCATGAACAAAGCTTTCTATAATGCCAAAAAATTGTCAGAGGAATTTTTAATTTAGGTAAGGTCAGTAAAACACATGGCAAATATCATACTTCAATCCAAAATATCTTTGAAGGATAATGTCTATGCTAATGAAAAACACAAGTTGTGACACATGAGTAGTTTTGAAATCTCCTTTTTTCTTCCCTAAAGTGAAAAAGAGATAAGAAATATTGTAGCTTTAGAAAAGGCTAGACCTTAGCCACTGTCCAATGTTCAAGATTTCCTTTGGGATTCCAAATATTTGATTACAATTAATGACAACTGTTCACATACAACTGCTGAAGCAATGTATGCTTTTTGATGTCTGCTTCTCAGTAACACTATTGTGGTAGCTTTGACAGCCACAGCAAGCAGTACAGTCATTTTTGTTTCTGATATTTCCATATCGATAAGATTGTTGCAAAACTCTCAACAAGTAACTAAAGCACATGGAGTGATTAAAGGGAATGAGGTGAGATGCTCAAAAAAGGAGATGCTTGTAGAGCTTGTTAGGTACCCGTGTCATTACTTCTGACATGACATTTAGTTACAGTCTGGAGCACAGGAAGAGCAGATGCTCTACAACACTTCAAGGGTTGAAAATGGGGCATGTCCTGGACTTCCTGAGCTACCCCTTCCCCTCACCTCTGAGACACCAGCTGTACTTGCTGCCCTGAGAGTCAAGGGAATGGCAGATGAACAAGAAAATGTACTTTGCCTCATACCCAAGCAGGCCTGGAACTTATGGCTAACATTCAAGGTAGCCTTCAGGCTCTTTATTTCCTACATGTATCAGTGGAAAAGTAAGAGCTTAAGTAGGTGGTTGAACCCCTAATGCACAGCTGCATATGGCGCCCTTATCTTCCACAGCAAGTGTAGTAAAAGAGAAAAATCTTTCCAAAGTACTCTCCTTCCAGTCACAACTTCCCTTTGTCACTGTTGTATCAGGATGATTCCTTTTCAATGTATCTGTCTGATTGAATTTTTAAACTATCCAACTGTGGAAACGAAGAAGAAACAATGAATTGTGTTCCTCAAAATAAAGTACTGCTATCTGAAACACCTCCTCGGGTCCTGATCCAAAGCTTATTGCACCACTGAAAGCATTTCAAAGAACTTTGCATCAGGTCCATACAAAGTGTTTTGGTTCATGGAGTAGATTTTGTACTGTACAAGTAACGTAAAGTAAACTCTGGCATAACCCCAGCTGGTTCCTCTTCTAAGCAAACAGAGTAGCTCAATTTCTAGTTAGGGCTAGCTTGGATCTGCCCGTATTCTCAATTCCTTTGCATGCCTTCTATTTTATGAGTCTGCTGGTCTTTCTCACTCTGTGAACTAGCAACTTAAAACCTAGTTATACCTTAAAACCTTCCTAACCTATCATTCCTCCTGTGTAGCAACAATCTGGCATTACTGATGCTCAACTATTTCGGTACTTGAGAAAGCCTGTCACTTGGGCACCTCCGGTTTAGTGTCTCCTGATGCACCAGCCAAGGCTGGCGGTACACTGGACTTCACCCTTCATTTGGGCTGGGTCCAGATCTTCTCAGCTACCAGTGAGTCATGAGTCAACAGGAAGAACAGGGACACTGGTTTTGCCTGTAACTTAGCTGAAGGATTTATCAAGGGTTAGAGGCTTAGTCTTTTTATTCATAAAACCCAGGACTATCCTGGCGCCTTCTTCAGGTGCACAGGTACCAGTGATGTAGAAGAATGTTCTCTGCATTTAGACAGTTTGTTACTGTGCTGGAATAATTTAACCATCATTGGTATCACAGTATACTCTCTTCTGCCTCAGTGTGACAGGTCACCAGTGCAACACAGAAGTGGATAATATCCCATTCCATTGAGATTCTTCTGCAAGAACAATAGTTAACACTTGGAAAGGCTTCACAAAGCTGGATGCCTCTCATCCTGAAGCATCCTTGCATACGTCAAAAATCTTCCCAGGTAACCTGAGCCAACCATGGGAAAAGCCATTTAAATCTTTACAAGAACATGTGCTGAGTTTTGGCAAACCTCCCTCCCTCTTCAAAACAAAACCCGAAATAAATTATAAACAAACAAAACAATCTCCAAGTCCACAAGGAAGTCCTTGTCTTTGTTTGCTATTGTTGTTTTGGTTTCAGGCTGATGTATGGGCTCAAAGGGTCATTGGAGACAAAGTTAGAAGAAAGGCTACCATTCAATGTCAGAAAAACAAAACATGAACAGTTTAAGGGCTGAAAACCAGTGCTCCGTTTCCAGACACTGGCCAAAAACTGACTGTTGACCTGCACGGCACATGGTGGCACACACTGCTCGCTAAATCTGATGTACACCAAGTGAGATGCTGATACAGGTGGGTGGAGAGCAATAAATTTATTAACCTTTATTCAGAGTCAAACATGAAAACCAGTGCATGAGCTCTTTTTGAAAGAAAGCAAAGCAGAACAGCTAGCAGCTGGTTTTGAATACTGCAAATCTTGTCTTTCATAATTTGAGAGAAGCAGAGTAATACATTAGGGTTACTTGTTCAGCTCTTGCCAAAAATTGGACCCGCTTTTTCTCTCCTTCTTAACCAACATAAAAAATTAGTTATTTTTATTCCTATTAAGCTGGTTTGGCATTCTGGGCCCCAGGAAGGTCACACACAGCTGCCTGTACCCTAAGCCTGTGGAACTGATTCTCCTTCTATAGCAGTGAAAAGCCATTCCCATCAATACTATTACTCCCAAGTTAGGAAGCAAAAGTGAACAGAGAATCAAACCCCCTGGCTTCTGGCAAATCTAACACATAAAATGTAGCCCAGTCATAATAGCATATATTTGTGGGCAAATTGCACCTAAATTACATGGATATGAATTGTAAATGTCCTTATTCCAAGGGATCGTGAACTTTCCTTATGTATGTTATAGCTTAAAGGGAATATGTGCCAATGTATGTGCATAATAACGTTCACTTAATAACAATTTGATTGGCAGTGTTTAGTCATAATCAGTATTTTAAAGCATTATTAGCTTAATGCCCCCTTAATTTCAAATGTGAGGCAGTGCAAACTTGAAAACAGACTGCAAAAAGCTTTAATAGACTTTTTTTAGTAATGTCTTGCCCCTCACCTCTCAGGTTAGTACAGTAACTCCATCGAAATCCAGCCAGTCATGCTACAGTACACACAGTAACAAGCACAAAGTATAGACAGGAGGAAAGTAAGGGCTGGTATCTTCCATCTCTTTCTGTTGACACAAAATACTTTAGAACCTATATTGTTCTAGAAATAGCCTTTGTTTTTTTTTCAATTTTTCATGAGTGGTGTATGACATTTACAGGCTAACACCTTGTATATTTCAACCACTTACTCCCCAACAGTATATTGTTGAATGGTTTAAGGGAAGTGCCAGATCCCATATAAGACATTTTTAAAAAGCACCAAAAGAGTAGTCAAATCAAACTGCATAAATAATGGGATATTCTTCAGAAAGACTGCTATCAAAGACCCTCTTTTCAAGAGGTTCTCTTCGACATCCTCAGGGCTACTGGACATTTAGGAATGTTTGAGATCTTTTGCTTGAATTGACAGTGTGGTATAACTGCTCTTGACTTTGGTGGTTTTTTTTGTTGTCTAAAGCCCAACAAAACGATGTATTTTTTGTACCAATATATTTATTTTTTTTGCCAATATACGCATGAGGAATGTAATGAAGTGGCTTTGTGCTGCAAGTAGCTCAGCAGATGTTGAAATCAGTTCCAGTTCCTGAAAACAACTTCTTGACAACATAGTCTTAGCATTCACAATAACCAAAACATGTGGGATTCATCTACATCATTCTTACAAATATATTCTCTTTCCCCCTCTCTTTCTCCCTCTGTGTTGTAAACCCTCAGCCTTACTTGCTTCCTTGTACTTTATGATCGTATGTGCCTGCATGCTTATAGCCAGATACATATCCTGAAGCATCCACCAGATCTTCTCGGCCAGCTTTGCCTTTTCCTTTCCCACTGGGATCAAACCTCTCTTTGTGAGAACCCGTGAATTTTGATGTATCTGTAAGGCGTGATACAGTTGGAGATGAAATGGCTTTCTATTGGAAGAAAAAAAAAAAAAAAAAAAGAAAAATTCATCAGAAATCAATTATTCTTAATGCAGATATTTGTACACTCTATCAACATTTAAATCTTTGATAATGATGGAGACTACATAAATATCTACTAATTTCCAGCAAAAGAATACAAAAAAATGTTTGTTTCTTGCCATTACATACAATGATAATAAACTTATAGCCAAGAACAAAAGAGAGCAAGTCATACCAAAAACTTTTGGAAGAGACTTTCAATATGAGATACTTCTAATGATTAATAAAGTTCCAAGCACCAAAGTTAGGAAGAAGTCATAGGGAACAGTCATGTTCAAAGTCCATTACGTCAACATCCAAGCATAAAAGCCTGGCTCCACCAGTATAGAGAAAGCAAACCAATACAGCTAGAATTTATTGCTTCAAGAGACAAATTTATTCTAAACTCAAGGATTCATGAGAAGTGACTAACTAGATGGACTGAAATTTATTTTCAATATTAGCAAATTAGCAGTCTATGAAATGGCACTGAGCAAAGACTTTCCTCTACATTGCTTCCAGTGAGTCCTATCAGGCTACTTAAAAGTCAAAGTTTTGCTGTCATGGAGATGAAGAAAATGTGATTACACAAACAGAGAGAAAAAGATATTTCACAGAACAGTATAGGAGCACGCTAACCTGTGTGCTTGGACTGGGAGCAGTGTCTTTGACCCTTAAGTTTACATTTTAAAATCAGAAGAGAAAGGGCACTAAAGGAGAAAGGAAAACACAAAAGATTTTTGCATAGCAGTGGAAATGGAGCTATGATGAACAAAGACTGATAAAATTTGGGCATCTTTCTTATGTGTTCCACCCTGTTAGGATGCATTTTAGAGACAAAAGTGACACGGGCTTCACTGCAGTGAAGTGATGCTCACGGAAACCATCTTTCATCAAAAACCTCATTCTCCCTCTACCCATCCTCAGTGCAAATAAATGCTCATTAATGAGACCTAACAAACAGGCTTTCAAAGTAACACATAGGACGACACACATCAAACACCTTTTAATGCTGAACATTAAGAGAGTTGGAAGAGAATCTTGAATGTGTACCAAGAGGAGCAGGATACTTGGATTCAGTTAGACTGGGAATTAATGCTGTAATCTGTACACTGTGGAAGTCACGCGTCCTCCCCACCATTTAAATAAAAGCTGTTTTGAGAGAACCTGTCCACATACATAACTACTTAATGAGAATGTCAGGATGTAAACTTCTGCTTTTCTCCCTTCAAACATACCCACCACGTGGCACATGCAATACTGCACTGCTCTGCAGCGTTGCATAAGGCTCTGAAGGGAAAGGTGGTGTGGGGGTGTGAGTTCTGTCACTATCTGAAAGAAAATGACCACTGGAGCATTCATTTCTCAAAACAGCATTATTGAATGACCTTTACGGACTTTTGCTTTGCAGTCTCTGAGTACTATTTGCAGAAGTCGTTATTTTTCTATATTGAAAAACAGAAATTAAGACAATGCTTAGGAAAAACTATTGCTTCTTAATACATCCAGGTTTCTTGTCCACACTGGCCTGCTATCACCTTATAACCAGGAAACCTGTATTCACAGTAATTTAAAAAAATACACCCTGTGATCAGTAGTTGTGCTAGCAGCCCAGCTAGGTAAAATGAAAATACAATAAAAATATATAAGCTGAGACATCAAAAGCAGCAAAGTAAAAACTACTGGTCTGGTGCCCAGCTGAGAATTTATTCTTTCTGCTCCTCAAGTTATTAGTAAATTGAAGAGGTTGTACACACAGTCACACAACAGACCCAAAGGATTGTCTGGCCACTGGAAATTACTCTGACAGCTCGAGGAAAACAAAGTCACACACTCTGTAAGAGTGCATAACCTGTTAGCTTCACCCTGGGCACAGGCACTGAGAATTCTGTGCTATTTTAAATCTTACCTGTGAATCGCTGTTTTGTTCAGTAGGTGAAGGGAAACATGGGGGCTCGTACCTTGAACAAAATTCCAGCACAAACAGGTGGGAATAAGCTTTTATGTGGTGTAGTGTTTTCTGCTATGTGGTGTTCATGAACAAGAAGACTGCCACCAGTTGAAGACAAACTAACAGACTGCTTGCCTGATTTGTTCCACCCACCACCCATTTTGAACCATGAAGCATCTATAGAAGTGGGCAGTACCTATGTCTCACCTAACTTGTATAAATACACAGGCTCCCCATTTCATTTTCTTTTTAAAATCCCTGCGGGACATAGCAACTGCAGGAGCACATTAATAGAGGCTGACTGTAGGACAGAATACATGTGGGAAGTTTCTTACGCCTGTTTGCTTGTTTAAATTATTATTAGACCACTCTCCCACCAAAAGAATATATGATGCTTCTTACTAAAGGCATTTTCTTAACTATTAGCAAGCTTCTTGTGTGTTCTTTACAAACTTACTAAGAAAATTAAGATCCCATCTGTGACTCTCCCCACGAAACCCAGCAAGGGAAAAGCTAGGGCACAATATTTGTCAATGTATCTTCCATTGTCTCTAACATCAGGAGAAGCTGCTACAGAAGATGCAAGAAAGCTTATCATATAATCAAAGGACTAAAGTTTGCTCTATTTATACAACACTATTGCTAAAAGCCACAGGATGTTACCAGTGTTGTACCGTAAACATGGAAATACTCCAAATTCAAGACAGAGGCAATATTCAGTATAAAGTTAATTAAACTTAACACATATTTACTTTTCTTGTATTGCATCACCACTACTTTACAGAAAATCACTTTTCTCTAAATGTGCATGTAGAGAGAAGTCTCTGAAATTCTAGTTGACTGCCTTTTCCTTTACCAAATTAATTCTCAGGACAGACTCCTATTCGGAGAATTTCTAATGATAAATTTAATCACTATTTGGAAAAAGGAGGACTACAGCTTCTGCTCCTCTGTTTCAAAGGGGTGCCATGCTCAGTATGAAATTTGCCTCAATACCCAAATTACAATAAAAATAAATAAGAACTTTGGTACAGTAACATAATTATAACAGACATACTAAGACTTGTATGAATATGGAAGTATGAAGGATGAACATGAATGACAATATGAAAGGAAATGCACACATGTTAACACACAAGAAGAAATAGTAAAATGAGGATTAATAGAATGGCCTGTGTCAATAAGGAGGGCCATTCCCAGGAAATTACTCCCAGGACATCATTCCCAGTGGTAAACTTGAAGAACGTGTTGTTTATACCAAGACAGCCTGCATTCTGATAAGACCACAACACAGATGACTTACCAGAAAAAAAAAGATGCATCCTAACAACAAGATGATAGCAGCAAAGTTGAAGCGTGCCACGTAAGCCTTTCCTTTTCCTGTTAGGCTACTGGGAAAACAGTGACGCATTTCAAACCAACAAGGAAAACAGAATGGGCAACAGCTTGGCCTACAAATTATGGAGGCTGAACTAAGATCCAGAAGCAAAGCACCAGTCTGTAATGACTACTGACTCTTAAAGGTCGTGAAACATCCATCCAAAAACTAGTATGTCATTGTCAGTCATAAAGAACCCAGGAGACACAGTGAAGTTTCAGTGGCGAGCATCTGTTGTCCCCTGTGTCCCACACATTGAGGGGATGCAGTGCGTGTGCCAAAACGTAACCAATTTGGCACACACGTCTTCGTGCTTGACTGTGAGGCTTGGACTAGGGCCAATATGAAAACATTCTTTTATAACTCATTCTTCATCTGCTAGAGCTAAGTGTGTTCCCAGTGCAACAGCAATGCAGCAAATGGTTGAAATAAAAAAAACCCAAACAAACAGCTGTATGGTTTAGCACCCCTTTGACATATCTAAAAAAAAATAAAAAAAAAAATTTAAAAAATCACTTATTTAGCAGACAACTTGGGACAATGGTTCAGATCTTTGGCTTTCATATCTGTTAATTGAAAGTTAGTATGTATACGTGCAGGGAGAAAGAAACATCAACATTCTAAGTAAAGGTAAATTAAAACCACAGATTAAAAAAATACTATCCTTTTGTCCTGAAAAACAGTTAAATGAAACCTACAGCCCCAGCACAATGAACACCACAACTCCAGAAAAACAGTGATCCCACACCCTTTCTCCTTTCAGCCCAGGGTAGATCAATGCTTCCTGCATCACAGGAGTCACCGTATGTGACATGAACATCAAGACAGAAGCTGCAAGGCAAACTCTCTTTCTCCAAATCGTTTTTATCTGAGTAAGAACTGCTGCCTTTTCCTAAGTTGCATGTGAAGTCACTGGGGCATCCCTTCCCACACGTGACAGGACATTACAACTGGAAGATGGCAATCCCTCCTGGTTACTATCTGGCACAATTTCTATGAAATGGGAGGCTCACTTTGTTTCCAACCGTACAAAACTCAAGCAATTTTAATTCCTTGTACAACATGCTCTCGCTCCCTGAACTGATACATCCATATAAAAGATAAGAGATAATGAAATGCCACCATAAGGCTATGCAGAACACCCCATTCCTGCTTTTTCTTCTCCTTTTATGTTTCTTATGATGAATGCAAATCCATTACAAAGAAAATACTACTCCTTCTTTAAGGCTGTGTGAATATTACACAGAAGGGCCTCTGCAATCTAAGCATCCTGCTAAGGTGTTTTCTTTCAAAAAAGCCTTTGTAAATACAGAGTAGAATACACAAGGACTTTGTGTCTGTCTTGGACTCCTCAACCAGAAGCAGATAGTGGTACTATATATCACAGAATCATAGAAGGGTTGAGGTTGGAAGAGATCTCTGAAGGTCATCTGCTCCAAACCCCCACTTCCCCACCTAGAGCCAGTTGCTCAGGACCACGTCCAGATGGCTTCTGAGTATCTCCAAGGCTGAAGACACAATCACCTCCCTGGGAAACCTGTGCCAGTGCTTGGTCACCTTCACAGTAAAAAAGTGTTTCCTGATGTTCAGAGGGAACCTCCTGTGTTTCAGTGTGTGCCCATGCCCTCTTGTCCTGTCACT